GATCCAGTGGCTCAAGGATGCTCAGGGGCTGCCTGGTGGGGGTGGAGGGGACAACAGTGGGACTGCCGAGAATGGCCGCCACTCAGACCTCGCTGCCTTTTACACCATTGTGGCTGTGTTTCCCAGCCCCCTGGCTGCCCAGAATGCCTCCCTTCGCCTGAACAACTCTGTGAGTCGCTTCAAACTTCGAGTGGCCAAAAAGAACTATGACCTGAGGATCCTGGAGCGAGCCAGTTCCCAATAAATGGAGAAGGGGAAGGAACTGTCACAATAGGGCCTGGGGACAGAGTGGAGAGGACCCAGATGGAACAGAGGCAGAAAGTAAGGAGACAGATGCCAAACTGGGGCCTAAGACTTTAGGGATGAAGAGGGAAACAGACTCACACTGGCACTGGACTCCTTGCCAATTCCCTGCCATGGGTCCCCTCTTTTTCCTTGATTGGACCCCCTTTGCTTCCCTCTCCTTCCCATCCTCTTCTATCATTTTTTTAATCTCTTCTTCCACCACAGAATTAATTTCTTATTTTTTTGGTCAGGTAGAATTGGGAGCATCCCACACTCCCCTCTTTATTCCCTTTCCATCCTATTTTCCCTTTCCTTTTTTGGTCTTTATGAGTATATTTATATGGACAGAATTAAGAAAAACAAAATTGATTTCCCCATTCTCTTACTTCCCCCATCTTGTCTCCCCAAACCCCCCAGAGTTAAAACTTGGGACTCCCCTTACCCCCAGAACACTTGTATATTGTTTGTTTGAGGTTTGTGCCACAGTAACAGACACAGTATTTAATTGCACATACAGATGTTTGCTGGATATATTCACTGTAAATTTTATTTAATCTGGTTTTTGTTTGTTTGTTTGGGGGATTACTTGGGGGGAGGTTGATTTTGTTTTTAAATATTAAAAAAAAAAAAAAAACTGACACTGGACATCAGTCACTGTTTCTCTGTTGCCGCCCTGGTGTGTATGGGAGGGTGAGGTGTGGGTTGAAGACCCTGGGTAGGTACAACCCCTACAGCTTGTGGGCAGCTGGGGAGGGTAGTTGTTGGGTTGGGATGGCTTTCCCCAGCATGTGCACATACCTCTCCCTAACACTATTCCTCCCTCTCCCCTGGACTCAATTTTGATAGAAGGCTAAGTTTTGTCAGTACTTTGGTTTGGGGCTCTTGCACCTCTGCTACAAACTGGTTCATCAAACATGTCACTTCTCTACTCTGAACCTCTGTGTCCCAAGAGTTTGCTTCCATCCTGTTAATTCTCATTTAGAGCCTTTGCAACTGATCTGGGGAGGGATGAGTGAAGTCTAGAACTGTGTTGAGATGCTATCCTCATTCCTATCTATCTAATCTTCTGAAAACTTTCAGAGATGGAGAACCTGGGCCTTTAGTCCGAAAGCCCAGAAGATTGGGTTCTACTTGGCAGAAACAGAACTAGAGGTTTCTTATAATAAAAGCTGTATCAACTGAACTTGTAGTGCCCATGTGTGTTCAGCAGTCTCTGTCCTGTGCAGCTGAAGAAAAATGAAGAGCAGAAGTAACCTGCCTGCAAGATAGAACTTTCTACCTACGGACCCTCTGGGCTATACTGTTCTGTAACCCTTCAGAGGAGAACCATTAAAGAGGCTGTAGACTGCTGGGTATGGTGGTGCATGCTGTAATCCCAGCAGTTTGGGAGGCTGAGGCAGTAGGATTACAAGTTAAAGGCCAGCCTCTACAATTTAGTGAGGCTCTAAGCAACTTAGAGAGACCCTGTCTCAAAGAATAAAAAAGGGCTGGGGATGTGGTTCAGTGCTTAAGTGCCCCTGGGTTCACTCCCCTGAATCCCACTCCCCGCCCCAAAAAAACTGTAGACTCACCCATTCAGAATTCCCTTTTCAATTTCATCTACCTCTTAAAGAGAGCAAAGAGCAGTGAGTAAAAATGACATTGCCTTGGAAATCTAGGCCTGGGTAGCTCTATCTCTAGTCAAGCTCCTCCTAGAGATTGTCTAACCCAACCTCCAATGTGGTCTTTTGTCTCACAAATACAAGGGATAGTGCATGAGAGGCAAGCACTCTACCAACTGAGCTATATCCCCAGCCCTCCATTACCCTCTGAAGATAGTGTCTTTCAACCATGTCACAGTCCAATTAGCTGTATCTTTGTGAGAGAAAAATGCCATATATTAGGACATCAGAGGTAAGAGGTAGAATCAGGGAATAAAAAAAGAGCTATAATTCTACCAGTGCAATGGTGCTTTCCCGGCAACTCAGAAGTCTGAGATGGGAGGATCAAAAGTTTGAGCCCAGGGCTGGGGCTGTAGCTGAGTGGCAGAGTGCTTGTCTAGCATGTGCAAGGCACTGGGTTTGATCCTCAGACCACATTAAAAAAGTAAACAACAGTCTGGGGTTGTGGCTCAGTGGTAGACCACTCACCTAGCATGTGCCAGGCCCTGGGTTCAATCCTCAGCACTACATAAATAAATAGAATAAAGCTATTGTGTCCAATTACAACTAAAAAATAAATATTTAAAAATAAACAAACAAAATATGGGGCTGGGGCTGTAGCTCAGTGGTAGAGCACCCACCTTGCACATGTGAGGCACTGAGTTCAATTCTCAGCACCATATAAAAATAAATAAAGATACTGTGTCCATCTACAACTAAAAAACTATTAAAAAAATAATACGGGGAGGGGATGGGGTTGTGGCTCAGCATAGAGCACTTGCCTCGCACGTGTGAGGCACTGGGTTTGATCCTCAGCACCACATAAAAATAAGTAAACAAAGGTACTGTGTCCATCTACAACTAAAAAAAAAAATAAAAGTTTGAGCCAGCATAGGCAATCTAGTGAGACCCTGTCCCAAAAAATAATAAGGGCTAAGGGGTATAAGTCAGGTACAGTGAGTGTCCCTGGATTCAATCCCTGGCACTACACACACACACAAAAAAAAAAAAAAAGGGAAGAGAATATACTTACAAATGATTAAACACTCCCTAAACTTGTCAAGGGTTGCCTCTACCTGGGTTTTATACTCTTACTCCCCAGATACCCTCAGATAAAAGTCCCAGCCCCCCCCCCCTTTTTTTAGGTGTTTTATTGTTTGTTTTTGTTTTTATTTTGCTTTGGTACTGTGGATGATTTAACCCCGAAGTATTTAACCACCGAGCTATATCCACAGCCCTTTTTCAAATTTTGAGGCAGTCTCATTAAGTAAGTTGCTTAGGGCCTTGCTAAGTTGCTGAGAGGCTGGCCTTGAACTTGGAATCCTACTGCCTCAGCCTTCTGAGTTGTGTGTATGTGCCTGTGAGCCACTATACTGGCTCCAGCTCTTTTTCAGTAACTCTTATAGTTCCTTCACCCTGAGGACAAGATTTTAGAGGAATAGGGAGAAAGAAGTCTCTAGGAGCAGTGGAAAGGAACAAAGAGTACTACTTATCCCTCATTCCCTTACAGGACAGTACGTGCCCCTGACCACCACAGATGAGAAATCAATCTAATGTGGCTGATAAGAGAGCTCTGAGAATCCAAATTATCCTTTCCTCACCAGTTCCCAGGCCTTTCCTAGACTAAGGGCTTGAAGTGAGATCAATGTTTGAGGGTATATAAACACGTGGCCACGGGAAGACAATGGCTGAGAGTATATGTCTACTTAGGTAGCCTAGGGAAGGTAGAATTGGGAACCTGTTGGGACCTTTGGAAAATTGTTTTTTAATTCATCTTGACTTCACCTTCAGACATCTAAAATCCCCTCAAACAAGTCTGGACATAGTGATTCATGCCTATAATTTGGGAGGCTGAGACAGAAGGACTGCAAATTTGAGGTTAGCTTGGACAACTTAGTGAGACCCTATCTCAAAAGAAAAAAAAGGATTGGGGATGTAGCTTAGATGATAAAGTGCCACTGGTTTCAATCTTCAGTACCCACCCACGCCACCAAATACAATCTCTTCAAGTATGTGGCATGAAGAGAAACTGCCCCTTCCTGACTAGCGGGTACTGACCTACTCACCATAAGAATCAGGGAAGGACAACCCTGGGGGATGGGAGGAGTTAGGGTCCAGCCCTGCCCCAGACCTCCTCTCGTGTCCAATTTCTCTGTGTCAGCTGTGCCGTTCAGCTGTCCATTTTCCTTCAGCCCTGTCATCTCACACTGACACCAAGACAAGAGGCTAGCGGCCTACAAAATACCGTCTGGGTGGCTGGTGTGAGTACGGAGGGTATTGGGGGGGCTTAGCCCCCAAGGAAGAGGACCAGTCCTTCCCCAGCACCACCTCAGGCCTCAGGGTCTCCCTCTTCCCTCCAGAGACGGTGGACTGGTTTAGGGAATCCCAAACGTAAGTTTCCCCTTCATCCTCTTTCCATTTCCAAGACTGCTCTCCCCAATCCATAGTCTATTCAGCTTCTTCATTTCTCTCCTTATCTGTGAGTAGTTGGGTTTTAGAAGTGAAATTATTACTCCAGGATTAGCTAGGATTGAAGGTGGGGGTGGGGTGGGGTCCAGGGAATAAAGTAAGGGAAGGAAAGGCTCATATTACTCTGAAAACCTAAAATAGCTGAGGCCTAAGGCAAGCTGGGACAGAACTAGGCATGGGCCCCAGGGTTCAGGAAAGAGGGGAAGGAAATGTCTCAGTCCATCCTTCCATGTGTGCACTCCAGAATGCAATGTTAAACTTCTTGAAGAGGGGATGTGGAAAGGTGTGTCACATTTCTATTCCCCATGAATAGGAAAATGCGTGAAACCAGACAGCCTTAAGTATTATGTTGGGGCTGTAAACTCTGGGGCTACCCCTTGGGGCAGAAGGATGGGTATTAGTGTGAGAAACTTTAGCCTGTTGGTCTTTTTTCTAGATCTTCATGAAATATTTCTGTTCATAAGCCCTACTGAAAGATCTCTGTCTACCCAAATTTCTCCCAAAGCTTCCCCTTCAAGGACCACCGTACTTTAAAGGATAGAAATAAGGGAGGGAAGAATGGCAGTCAAAATTTAGATTTCATAGTGGGGTCCAACCTCTTGCAGGATGACAGAAAAGGAGGTGCTGGAGTCCCCTAAGCCCTCCTTCCCAACAGAGACTCCGCAAAGTGGGGTGAGTCTGGGCCTCTCACCACTGGGTGTGGGCGGCTGGGAAGCCATTACAGCTTCTACAAGAAAGTGCTTAAAATGACCCCACTTGTGTATGACTCATTTATTTTTAGAATGCTATTCAGCACCTGTACCCCAAACCCCTAACCCTGGGGCAGATTGCTTGACCCAAGTTAGGAAAATGTCCAGTTGGCTTTGACTCCAGCTACCCTAGGAAGAGCAAAAGTCCTTTTAACACTGGATTTCCTTCACTCCTTCCCTCAGCTACAGCGGCTGAAGCAGTTATTCAGGAAGGGTTCTCCAGGGACAAAGGAGATGGAGCTTCCCCCAGAGCCCCAGGTCAATGGGGAGGCAGTAGGAGCTGGGGGTGGGCCCATCTACTACATCTATGAGGAAGAGGAGGAAGAAGAAGAAGAGGAGGAGCCACCCCCAGAACCTCCTAAGCTTATCAATGACAAGCCCCACAAATTCAAAGATCACTTCTTCAAGAAGCCAAAGTTCTGTGATGTCTGTGCCCGGATGATTGTGCGTGAGTTATAAAGGGAAGTAGAGAGAATGTGATGTTGAAGGCAGGGGGTGGGGACAGGTTGTAGGAGAAAAATATTTGCAATGGATAGATGGGCTGTGTCAAGATTCAGCTTATGAAAATATGATTAGAGGGAAGCACAGAGTAACTGTGGGGTACAAAGGGAAAGGGCAAGCTGGATTCTTACCCAATGTTCTCCCCCTCCCAAGTCAATAACAAATTTGGGCTCCGCTGTAAGAACTGCAAAACCAACATCCATGAACATTGTCAATCCTATGTGGAGATGCAGAGATGCTTCGGCAAGATCGTGAGTAGGGTCTGGGGAATGAGAGAGTAAGAGGGAGGGCACATGTTTCCAGTTACCCCCTTGTTGGTCCCTCAAGTCATCCCATACATCTTCCTGCTTTCTCGGCTCATCTCTCTTACTCTGATAAGGGGTAAGCATTCATGGGAGAAGTGGGGTGCTGGGCCCTACCTTGCTATCTCTAATGCTGCCCTCCATCCCATCCTACAGCCACCTGGTTTCCGTCGGGCCTATAGCTCCCCACTCTACAGCAACCAGCAGTATGCTTGTGTCAAAGATCTCTGTAAGTGCCTCATAATGAACCTGAGGGAGTGGGCAAGACCCAGAGATGGTTTCACACCACTTTTAGCTTTAGAAGCCAGATTCTGAAACAGAAATATTCTATTTCCCATAGTTTTCACTTAATATTTTTGGAGTCATTTTGGTTGCAGTCAACATTCCCGTTTTAGCTAGGCATGGTGGTGGTACATACCTATAATTCCAGCTACTTGGGAAGTTGAAGCAAAGGCCAGCATGAGCAATTCAATGAGACTCTATTTAAAAAAAAAAAAAATAGGATGATGCTCAGTTGTTGCTGGATTCAATCCTCTGCTCTCCAAGAGAAAAAAAAAAAACTGTAAACTAAGAGGAGTGAGATTTAGCTAGAACTACATGGAGCTAGCAGAGGTGGAGTCAAGACTGAGAACTTAATCTTCGCTTCAAAATCTGTGTTCTTCACATGCAAAACCATTTATTTTTTATAATATTTATTTTATGGTTGTAGTTAGACATAATACCTTTATTTTTATTTATTTTTATATGGTGCTGAGGATGGAACCCAGGGCCTCGCACGTGCTAGACAAACGCTCTATCGCTGAGCCACAACCCCAGGCCTTCAAAACCATTTCTAAACAAGAACAAGGTTTCTAGATTGTCCTTATCCTTGTTATAGTATCATGCCAGACTTAGGACCAGACTCAAAAGTTGTGGACAACCTGGAAAGTTCCTAATTTGATAATCCTTAAAAAATTATTCATTGCGGGGCTGGGGATACAGCTCAGTTGGTAAAGTGCTTGCCTTCTGTGCACAAGGCCCTGGGTTCAATCCCCAGCACCACCACCAATAAAAAAAAAAAAAATTCATTGATAATTTGTTCAATGTCACCAAACAGTGTGAGAAGCATGGGTGAAAAAGAAGAGCCCACTGGTTGTGACACCCAGTTTGTACATGCTTCTCAGCAAAGCAGAAGGCAGCAGTTAAGGGAGCATTCACCTTAGGAGAATAGTGATTCCAAGTATGCCCTAACTCCCAAAAAGTGTACAAGGTTGGCCGGGCACAGTGGTGCATGCCTGTAATCCCAGTGGCTTGGGAGACAAAGGCAGGAGGATCTTGAGTTCAAAGCCAGCCTCAGCAAAAAGCGAGGTACTAAGCAACTCAGTGAGACCCTGTCTCTAAATAAAATACAAAATAGGGCTGGTGATGTGGCTTAGTGGCTGAGTGCCCCTGAGTTCAATCCCTGGTACCCCACCCCCCCCAAAAAATGTAGAAGGTTGTCTTTCCAATATCATATAATTTGTCTGGAAGGAATTCTGATCAATATTTTTTCTCTATTATATTACTTTTCCAGTTATTTTATTTATTTATTTATTTATTTATTTGGTATAGAGATTGAGCCCCCCAGGGTACTTTACTACTGAGCCACATTCCTAGCCTTTTCCATTTTTTATTTTGAGTCTGGGTCTGGATAAATTTCTTAGGGTCTTGCTAGGTTGCTGAGGGTTGCCTCAAACCTGCAATCTTCCTGCTTCAGCATCCTGAGTCACTGGATGTGTGCCACCATGCCTGGCTCCAGTGATGTTTTTTAGGACCATTTACCCTTTATAGATTAGTGTTATGCAGCTAATCCTTCTCTAACCCTTCCCTCCCCTTTCTCCCTCTATCTTTTTCTCTCTCACACACACACACATACACAGTCACCATGGATACCTAGTTACCCAATCTCCCCACTTCTCTCTTCTTTAGGAGGTCTCTTTTCTCCAAGCCTTTCTCTGCCTCCCCTATAATGTCTTCCTTCTCTTCCATTTCACTAGCTGCTGCCAATCGCAATGATCCTGTGTTTGAAACTCTGCGCACTGGGGTAATCATGGCAAACAAGGAACGGAAGAAGGGCCAGGCAGATAAAAAAAATGTGAGCCTCATACATTCCTACTGGGTCCCTACTAGGAATTCCATGGGGCAGGTTATTTTCCCCTTTGGAAAGCTGACAGGAACTATAAATCCTTTTCCCCAAAAATGGCACAATTCCTAACAGACACATCTTTGCATGCAAATATAGAGGACTTTATGCACATGCTGTGGCTCACCATGGGCCTTGGTTAAGAACTACTGTCATATAGTGTGTTTCTCAACTCCCTTTTGAAATTGTCAGATTAAATACCACAGAAGGCTAGGCTCCATGTCCTTGGCATTGCTGGATAACAGAGGCATGAGTTGTGCTTTTGGATTTGGGGAAAAGAATTTGTCATTTCCAAGTAATCAGAAAATTCTAGAGCCATACAAAGAGGGTCTGTGAAGATCATTCAGTTTGACCCATTCATCTTACAGATGATGAAACTGAAGCACAAAGCTATTGGCCAAGAACAGCCTCATTTCCATTTACAATAGAGTTGCTAGATTGGTAATATAGACTTGTGTTCAGTTCTGCAAGGAATTTATATCTTTCTAAACAACCACTATGGACTAATATGGATGATAGTTACAGTTGGATCAATTCCTCAGATTGATTGAATGGCAGTATACCAAAGAGTCTAGGTCCTTTAGGAGTTTCCAACTAAAGGGAGATTTCTGAGGCCTTACAACATGATTTGGTCCATGGTCCTCATTGATGACCTTTTTTCTCATTGATAAAAATGAAGTTGTGTGAAAGCTAAGAGGGAAAACATATAATGAATAATATATTTTAAATTCTTACAAACTAAAAGAGCCAAAACTTATAATTTTAAATTTCTTTAAGAAAAATATACTTATCTGAGAAGGTTGGGCACAGATTAGGGATTTCTGTGGTGTGAACTATAATTTACAAAACCTTAGCTTTGCTTCCAGAAAGGATAGCATACTTTTGGATTCTGTTCTTTTAAATTAATTCAGGAAAAAAAAAAACTGTGCTGCCCACTTCCCTCTCCCCCGTCCTCACTCTTTGGTACTGGGGATTGAACCCAGGGGGCTTGCCATTAAGCTCCATCCCCAGCCCCTTTTATTTTATTTTATTTTTTAATTTGGAGACAGGGTCTCACTGAGTTGCTTAGGGACTCACTAAGTTGCTGAGGCTGGCTTTGAACTTGTGATCCTCCTGCCTCAGTCTCTCAAATTGCTGGGATTATAAGCCTGTGCCACTGCACCAGCCTATTTTTCTCTTACACAGTGGAATACTTTTAAAGGGCAGATAGTACAATGAAAGACCTGGAATCATGGGGATGATTTGAAGGGACTAAAAATTATTAGAGAAGAAAAGCCAGAAAGGACATATCAGCTTTCCTCAGCTATTTAAGGAGGCCATATTTGTTTCACATTTATAGCTCCAGAGGGCAAATCAAGACTAATAACTGAAGATTACAGGTAGAATAACATAGGCTCAAGGCAGGGAACTGCCCTAAAATTGCACAGGGTTACTTTGTAAGGTAGTAAACTCCATGCCATTAGCTACATTCAAACACAGGTAGGTGACCTACCTGCCAGCTGTTTCAGAAGAAGTCTCTGCATTAAGCAGATGGTTAGACTAGATGTTTCCTCCTTCTTCCAACCCTGAGATCCTATTATTCTATAGTTCTCTGGCCTGACTGGAGAGCCAGGGTAAGCATGGGTTCCAAAGGTAATATTTCTCTAACTCTGGTATCCCCTTCAGCCTCTAGCAGCCATGATGGAGGAGGAGCCAGAGTCTGCCAGGCCAGAAGAAGGGAAACCCCAGGATGGTGAGTGTTAATCACCTCTATCTACAGAAATGGGGTAGGTTTATGTGTGGGGTTCAGTTATGTGTGGCACAGAGAGTGGAGAGGCAAGGGGTGGACCAGGCTTAAAAAAAAAAAAAAAAAAAAGATTGCCTTTCAACACAAGGGAAAGAAAATGAGGCCTACACTCCAGGAGGCAAAAACATTTGTGTTTCCCATCCCAGGTAACCCTGAAGGGAGCAAGACGGCTGAGAAAACACCTGATGACAAAGTGAGAATCCTTTCTCCCTGTAAGGATCCCAGTCCTCTCCCCAGCCCAGGTCTGATACCATGTATGGCCTCAGCAGAAGTTCCCATCACCCTTTTCCTTGCTTTGCCACATCCAGTACACACACACACACACACACACAAACACACTAAGCTCAAGACTTAGGAGTTGGAATGTAATATGTCTAGAGAATGCTCCTCAATGTGGGGTACAAAGAGGAGCCCTGAAACGCATTACCCCCACCCCCTTTCATCCCCAGCACAAGCAGCCTGGCTTCCAGCAGTCTCATTATTTTGTGGCTCTCTATCGGTTCAAAGCCCTGGAAAAGGACGATCTGGATTTTCCGTGAGAGGCCTTCAGAGGAGAGGGTGGGGAGTACTGGGGAATGAAGAAGGGAGAGCTTGACTCCCTATGGGAAATGAAAAGGGGGAACCCCAAGCTTGGATCCTACTTGGGCTGGACTTTTCGGGGCACACCCAGGGAGTGGTATATGAGGCAGGCGACTAAATCTCAAAGGCCTCTTCCTTCCTCTCCCAGGCCCGGAGAGAAGATCACAGTCATTGATGACTCCAATGAGGAGTGGTGGCGAGTAAGAGAAATGGCAGGGGCTAGGGGTGGGGTATGTGTTAAATATAAAACCTGAAGTGAGAGATTGAATCTTCCCATTGTCTTCCTTAGGGGAAAATCGGGGAGAAGGTTGGATTTTTCCCTCCAAACTTCATCATTCGAGTTCGGGCTGGAGAACGCGTGCACCGTGTAACAAGATCTTTCGTGGGGAACCGCGAGATAGGGCAGATCACTCTCAAGAAGGACCAGGTATCTCTGGTGCTCCAACCGAATCCCAAGCCTGAATGCTTCTCAGCGGGTCACTCTCCTTGGAGATCATAACCCATTAATGAGACTAGGACGAGCTTCTGTACCCCAAGATCCGCTGCTCTCATCTTCTGCCTTTTCCCTCAATTCCTGTCTTAGTCTCTAATACTTAAATTTCTAGATCGTGGTGCAGAAAGGAGACGAAGCCGGCGGCTACGTCAAGGTCTACACCGGTCGCAAGGTGGGGCTGTTTCCCACCGACTTCCTGGAGGAGATTTAGGCGTGAAGGCGCCTGCAGTCGGGAGACACCCATCCCCATTCCGGGCGGGCCCAGTGGAGGTTGGGGAGAAAAGAGACAAAAGCAACTGGACTGCTGGGGGCGTGGGGTTTAGGAAGGCTCTGGGAAGGGACTGGTTCCTGCCTCCCTCCCCACCCCTGGCCTAGGGCCTCGGATACCTGGTACTCGAGCAGCCCGCAACTTCTCCGCCCATCTTGAGAGAGAAGACATCTCCACTAAGGAGGCGTCCAGGGGTATTGCGGGTACGAACTTATTTGAATGCTGCAAATTTATTAAAGTTTTGACAAGCCGAGCGCTGTAGTGTGCGCTTGTAATCCCAACAAATCGCGAGGCTGAGGCAGAAGGATCCTAAATTCGAGCGCAGCCTCAGCAATTTTGTGAGACCCTGTCTCAAAAAACAAACAATAATAATAATATTTTAAAAACTGGGGATGTAGCTCGTGGTAAAATGCTCGAGGGCTTAATCCGCGGTACCAAATAAAGTTTTGACAAAAGTTAGAAAAGTTTGTTCTTTGGGGACGAGGAGAAGGCCTGCAATGGAGTGGGAATCCTCTCCAGCTGTCCCCAGTCTCTCCCATAAGGTATCAAACTTATCTGGGCTGAGACTGATGGTAGGCAGGGGGATAGGTGGGGGAGCTGGACTGGAGTCGTCATCCCAGAGCCCCCACTGCTGGAAGCAGGATTGCGTGTCAAGATAGGTATCTCAGCTCTTGAAGGTTTAGCCGCGGGCGGCCCTTTGCATTTTAGAAACTGGCTCAGCGCCGAGTTAGGCCACCAGGGGGCGATGCAAGATCTCGGTTGGAGAGGGAAGGATAGGGACAGGCTGTAGCGGGTGGACAAGGGTAGAAAACGAGAGACACCAAGCCCGAGACCCTAGGCCTGGAGGGGGTGGGGTGCGTGCCGTCTCCATGGCAACACTTCCTCAAGTCCTCCGGGAACCCAGTTAGCGAGGCCGGGGGGCCTAACCCCTCCCTCGCGGCCCCTGCCCTAGTCCTTTCCGACAGGTACTGAGTGTGAGGACTCGGGGCAGACAGCTAACTGGCTTTCCGCTGAGACCCCCTGCGGCGCGCTGTATGCAAATGTTATTATTTGCATATGCAAATATGCAAATACGCCGGCCCTGGTCAGGGCGGCAGGTGGCGAGGAGCGGGAAGGTGTGGGGAAGAGAGCAGAAGGAGACGAGGAGATTGGGGACCTGGGAACCGACCAGTGAGAGGCAGCCTAGGGTGGTCGCTGGAGTGAGGCAGGCAGAGGGTCTTGGGCTTGATGGCGGGTGGGGGAGGGTCAGCCTGGCCAGCCAGAAGCTCCTCTTCTCGTCAGCCCGTTGTCTGCCAGGACTGAGGTTGGCACCGCCTAGCAAGGTTGGCAGCGGGAGCCCGGGCACCATCTGCTCCTGGCGGAGGGAGGGCAGAGGCTCAGCTGGGCTGGGGAAGTGGAGGGCCCGGGACGGGCGTTCTCCCCCTCCCCGCCTCTTCCTTACAGAAGGCTGAAGTGATGGGGGTAGGGAAACACGCAAGACTCGCTGCAGGACTGGATTCAGTTTCTTGTTCCCTTTGCCCTTGACTGTCCCGGATGCGGGGATAGGGAGCAGGGTCATTCAGAAGACTCAGGCAGCACCCGTTTTAATCACGCATGGGTTAGGTTAGGGACAGGTCACAGGCACACGCACACACCACAATCACAAGTCAACCTTTTACTCCCATCCCTCCTCGGGATCCGCCTATCACAAGTGTGTGAGAGGAGAGACAGCAGCGGGGCTCTGATCACCTCTATTCATCAAGAGGGCTGAGGGGCTCAAAACCGGAGGCCCTCTCTCCCGGGACCACACACACACACACACACACACACACACACACAGCTGAAGCAAAACCAATTTACTGGCTCATTGGGCGGCGATGCTGGTGTGGGGGTATCGAGGAGCAGGGAGAGCGGCTGTTCTCCCCTTACACTCGGGGGGCGCCCCCCTCCTTCGCCTTACCGAGCCGGCAGCTGTCCCTAATTAGAGCGGTGGTTTAATTGGATTTATCAGCAGTTAATAGGAAATTAAGCAAAGGGCCCGAGAGAAGGGGGGCGGGAGTAGCCGGGAAACAGACTGTGCTGAGCTGGAAGGAGGGGTATTGGGGTGCCAGGGGTGGGGAGAGAAGACACAGTATCACAACTGAGCCCCAAGATCACTCCCTTCTTCTGCTCAGTAAGCTCCAGGCCGATTGAGCCCTGGCCCGCGGGCCGGAAGCAAGTCCCAGGAGGGTGCGTCAGGCAAGACAGCAACCCTGTTTGAGCCCCCAGCGCCTCCCATTCCCACAGCAGCCGCCTGGGTGATGGATGATGCTGCCTCACACTGCAAAGGTCATAAGTCTGGGCCAAGGAGCAGACTGAATTGAAAATAGATCAGAGAAAGGGCCAGGGTACTAGGGTCCAAGACTCAACTTGCATCCTACCCCTCTCTACTGTCCAGTCTTGAAGTCAGAAGATTGGGCAGCAAGGATGTGAAGGTCGGGTAAAGAGGTGGGACTCTCACTTTGAAGCCCTCTTGGGGGATCTTGGGAATCTCCCAGTGCAGCTGCCACTGTCCTCCAGTGGTCCTACCCCACCTTCCTCACCTGCACCCTGCCAACTGCAGGAGTCAGGGCAGCAACCCACTGGGACTGCTTGCAGTGGATATCCAAGGACCACACCACCCTCTCTGAGGACCAGGGAGGGAAGCTTGCAGGCTGCCAAGAGGGGGCTACAGGCCTCTGAGTCCACAGCCCCAGGTGCCTCCTGTCAGCACTATCTCATTACACTGCTGGGCTAACAAGGTTTGCTCTGGGGGCCCTGGCGACCTCTGAGCCACACTTCACCCAGAGGAGCACAGATGGCAGCTCCTGAATATGTGTAGGTTTGAGTCTCTGAGTGGCTGTGGGTGGTAAGGTCTTTCTGTGCCCATGACAATTATGAGCACCGGTACTCCTGGTGTGTGTTGTCTGTGCCCTGGGTGTGTGAGCTCCAGATTTATGTCCATTTATGGGCTCTGATTTTGTGTCTGTCCCTGAAAGTAGGTATTGTTGGGTTTGCCTATTTCCCACTCCCAAGCTCATCTCTGATTTCCAAGCCCCAGGGTGTCTAGGTGTCTGGATGTTGATATGTGCTTTGGTGTGTCTGTGTTTATGCGCTCTTCACGCCTGGGTGTGCCCCAGCTGCGTGCAAGCATCTCCTTGTCTCTGCCTTCAGGCCTGTATGTGTGAAAATCAGGAAGAGCCACTGGTGAGTGTGTGTTGCTCCAGCATCTCCTTCTGCAGGTGTGTGTCTCGGTGACAGTGAGTGGGCGTGTGCTGGGTGTGAGCCGCGCGGCGGCGGTATACATCCGAATGACAGTGCGATGCGCGTGTATGTGAATATGCGCACGCGCGCGTGACTGGGTGAGTCTCCCGCCCCCGCTCCTTCCTCTCCCTATTTCTATTCCTCTCTCCTCTCCCGACCGGCTCGGCTCCGCGGTCCGCATCATCTCCATCCATTATTGAAGAAACAGCCGCGTCCGCTCCAATCACATCAACACCCCAGCCCCCTCCCCGTTCCGCTCGCCTGGTGGCTCCTCTGGGTGCTGTGGAGGGGGAAAGCCCAGACGCAACTGGGGGCGCCGGGCGGGAGCGGATCATGACCCTGTGCTCTGAGCTGAGCCAAACACCGGGACGCCGGGGTCCCTGGCGGAGAGCGCTTTGCATAAACAGATGGCACCGGCGTCTTTGTCTCATTCTCTTGCTCACTCGCCGCGCAGCTCCCGGCTCCGCTTCTGTCTGACTGATGCAATCATGATCATCTTGGAGCCTCGGGACCCCGCGCCTTTAATAGTGGCACAGAGGGTCAGGGGGCCCGGGGCTCCCGAACAGCTGTTGGGCACTGTTTCCCTTCCGGGCGCCCTCTCCACATCCCACAGCTGCAGCAGGAAGATCGAGGCCACTCCGAGGTGATGGGCATGTGGAGGTGACCAGGGAGGGAGACCCTGAGCAGTGTACTGAGGTGTCTCCAGGCTGTCCCATTGGACTGCTGCCGCCTCACAGGAGCAGCAAGCCAGAGAATAGGAATAGAGGTGGAGAATAGAGAGAAGGGGGAAAACAGAGAGAGACAGAGTAAGGCGTTTGTAAAGATAGACACAGGGAGATAGAGAAATGTAGAGGAAAGGAAAGACACACAAGAAAGAGAAACATGCAGAAGGACAAAGCCAGGTAAAGGGAGAGCAGCAGGGAGACATACACAACCAGAATATAAGAAACAGAGAGACACAGACACATAGAGACACACTCAGAGTCAGAGGTAGTCAGACAAATGACTCAAAGAAGAAAGAAGGGCAGAGGCAGGCCAAGTCAAGAGTGTGAGTTTCGGGACCTATAGCCCCAGAGTGGGCGTCCCAGTCCGGCATGGTGAGAGGAACCAGCCTGAAGCTGGGATGCTGCTTACAGCAATCTTCCGCAGCAATCCTCCAAGACCCTTCTGCGGTCTGTGGCCCCACCTCACACCAGAAGAGTGAAAGCTGAGGGACCTACTGTCTTCGTGGCGGGCGTAGCGGGAGTGACCCGTGGGAAGTGAACCTATACGTTTGCAGGCTTACACTTACCTGCTCGAAAACTGGGCATGTAAGGGCCGGCACTTCCTGACCGGAGAGCCGAAGGCCTCTCCCCGGAGTTTGGGAGCCGCTCCTCCAGGGGGCGCTCGCGACCACCATCCCGGGAACAGGGTAGCACCAGCGAGCCTGTGTTTGACGCGTTGAGCTGCCAGCTAGAGGATTTGGGTCCTAGTGGAATTTAGTGTTCAGTCTGGTCCGGACCCGACCCCAGGACGCGCCTAATTCATGGCTAATGTCTCCAGCGGTCCATCACCTCGGTAGGCCAGCGGGGCCTTCCAGAGTCATTGTGGTGAGAAAGTGCAGGGAAGGGGGCGGGGGCGGGTAGGGAGAGAAAGAGGGAGGAAGGTGGGGGAAGAGAACCCAGAAGTTCTGTGTTCCAGCTCAGCCCCAGAGATCATGGTCCAGGGATGTGAACCAAAGAAGAATAGGCTCACAGAAACTAGGACCACAAGCAGGTAAAAAGCCAAGGAGTCACGGAAAGCCAATATTGGAGGGTCAGAAAGCCGGCTGAAGCCCAAAGCAGGATAAACAGTAGCAGTTGTAGCAAAGAAGCGGGACCAAGGGTCTGTGTCACCAGAACTCAGAAGAAAGGGCGGAGGGAAGAAAGTGAGGGCCTCAGAGCAAAGGAACCCGGGCAAGAGCCAAGGATCCCTCCCGCTGTTCTGACTCCTCAGCTGTGCCACAGAATGCCAGATGTGCAGCCCAGCTGGGCAGCCGCTCTAGCTAGAGA